AATATTAGTCAAGAACTAATATTCCAAAAGCCATAACTACTTCATTATGGATGTAGTATTTTAATAATAAAATATAACTTTAAAATTTTAAGAAAAGAAATGCTGAGAACTTTTATTTAACTATTAAGAGGAAAGGGAAATTTAGGGGTAAAATCTGAAAACCTGAAATACTTTTCACTGCTTTGTTAAAGCACAGTGAAGCTGTGATCCCAATGACTCAGGAGGCTGAGGCAGGAGAATTGTGAGTTCAAAGCCAGGTTTGCAACTTAGGCAGACCCTGTTTCAAAATAAAATATAAAAAGGGGCTAGATATGTAACTCAGTTGTAAAGTGCCCCTGAGTTCAATCCCCAATACCAAAAATGTACAATGACAATTTTCATGACAATTAGGGTTTCAGTTTTATGCTATCAAAATTTTGACAACACAAGAGTCCTAATGCCATACTGAGTCTGATTCACAAAAAAATATATATATATTAAAAATACCCTTTTACAGTAATATCTCTAAAAATAGTAACCATTCTACATTAATCAGTGCAATAGCCTCTATTTTGACATAGATCCTGCCCCAAATGGTTGTTTTCATTAGCTAATTTAATATGATTAATTTTGTTTCCTATACTTTATATTCCGTTCCTAGCTTCCTCAAGTAGGAGCATCTCCTTTTTAGTAAGTATTTTATTTTGTATTAATGTTTTATTGTTTGTGTCTATTTTTATTTATTTCCCCCATATTTTTATTGGTACATTATAATTATACATAATGGTGAGATTTGTTGTTACATATTATAACAAGTATTTTCAATCTAGGCAATTCATATGAATACATTACTAATCTATCTTGAAGGAACAGAATTAACACCTATCTTTCAGGTTCATAGGTAGCCTTTTACTATGTGCAATTATAATGTTCAGAGGACATGATTATGGAACTACCCCACTGTTACATAAATTCGAGTTCAGGTTACTGAACATAAACTCAAATTCATGTAACAATGAGGTAGTTCCATAATTCTGAATAGGATTAAATTGAGATATAACCTTAAGTACTGCCTCTTCTATTCCCAAAGGTCATGAAACTCTCCATTCTCATCAAAAACATCTTAGCAGCTACAGTTCTTCAGGAATACTGAACTATATGGAACCTTATAATGTTCTGCCTGTTGGAGATCCCTTCCCTACTAGGATCTATACTCCTCATTCCAATCAAAATTGGGAGCATGATAAACAGCCAAAATTAATCATACAGAAGTAAAGAAGATGAAGAAAAGGAAAACTAAAAAACTTGGCATTTGGCTCCAGTTCTTCTTAGACTTTGTTTCACTGAAAGAACACTAATTTTTAATATTGGTCTAGAAAGTTTGAAAGAATGTTCCTACCACATTGCAGATAAATATTTAAAAATGAATTGGGGGGCAGGGGGAGACTGGTGGGCCAAGATAGAGTGAGTCATCTATAGCCTATTTATCTAACTCATTACATCTAAAAACTCTAGAAAACTATTTTTTAAAAGGCTATCTGAGAACTCCAAAAAGTAAGCAATATCAGGTTAGACTGGAAACTGAAATTGAAATCTGAATAATCACCTGTAATATCCATTTATTATTAAAGTTACAGTTTATTATTTCTTTTGGTTTTGTTTGTTTAGGCTCTTTGGTTTTTTTTGTTTTGTTTTGTTCTTTTGTTTTGTTTTGTTTTAAAGTTGAATTTTGTTTTGCTTTGATTTAAAATCTAATCCCAGAACTACAGTGGACACAGCACCAAAAAAGAAAGAAAGAAAATCCCTATTTCCATCCAGAAGACGAAGGAAAAGAACTCTTGCATGCCAGAAAGTGTATAGGAAATCACTGGGTTTTCTTTTGTTTCTCTCTGATCTCCCAGCCCTGTCTCAAGGCCAGTCCCAGCCTCTGAGCTGTACCAATACCAACCATGCATCTGGGGCACTTAAATACTAAAGAAAAAGCTTTTTTCTAATAGAGGAACTGGGAAAGGGAGTCTGTGTAAGTTTGAGGAGTATGGGGGAAATCCCCCTCTTCTCTCTTAACTCTTTGCCCTAAAGCCTGCTCTAGCTAAAGGAAATTATTAAGAGAAACTTGTCTTTCTGGTCACATGAAACAGCAAGCAGGTATAGGGAGTGAAGCAGGTATAAGAATCCTGGAGAAGAGATAGGGAAAGGAGAGTCACCTGTACATGACCCAACATAAATTCCAGACATAGTTCTGAACTGTTCCATATGTGGAACAGACCTTAGGAAGCATAACTAAGACTTACAGAACTGAACTATGATATTAACTATTGTTCAACATCCAGATTACTTCCTTGATGCTACACACAGACAGACTCAAACAGCACAGGAAAGACTAACGTAACCACCACACAAAACAGAAGACAAAGTCTAAACTAGTAAACTAGGTTGACTGCCTATCAGAATAAATAAAAACCTACACTCTCTAAATGATTTTAACAAGATCAAGAGTCCACAACATAATATATTCAAAATATCCAGGATACAATCCAAAATTACTCAACATGAAAGAGATCCCATACCCCATAACTCTGGTGTTGAAAATATAAGTCAAAGAGTTTAAAGCAACTATCATAACCATCTTCTTTGAGATAAAAAGATCATTAATCAAATGGATGGGAAGATTGAAATTCTCAGGAGAGAAATATAAACCTTGAGAACCAAATGGAAATTTTTAAATTTTTTTTAGTTGTAGATGGACACAATATCTTTATCTATTTATTATTTATGTGGTGCTGAGGATGGTGTCTCACATGTACAAGGCAAGTGCTCTACCACTGAGCTAGAATCCCAGCCTCAACCAAGTGGAAATTTTTTTAAAAAAAATATTTATTCTTTAGTTTTAGGTGGACACAATATCTCTATTTTATTTTTATGTGGTGCTGAGGATTGAACCTAGTGCCTCATGCATGGTGGGCAAGTGGTCTACCTCTGAGCCACAAGCCTAGACTCCAAGTGGAAATTTTAGAGGAAAAGTTTTGAGGGGCCTGTGGTTGTGGCCCAGTGGTAGATTGCATTAGAAATTGGGTTCGAAAAACTGAGAGAAAATTTTTCAAAAATTTTAAAAATAAATAAATAAATAGAGGCTCATGGATCTGGGAAGTAATATCACAAGATCTAATATCCACATCATTGAAGTAGCAAAAGGAAAGGAGAAAGAGTGGTATGAAAAAATATATTTGAAAGAATCATGACAGAAAACCTCCTAAAGTTGGTGAAAGATATTAATTTACAGACTGAAAAAGCTCAGTGAACTCCAAACAAGAAAAAAGAAAAGAAAAAGAAAATCATGCTCCATAATCAAACTGCTGAGCACCAAAGATAAGAAAAAACCTTGCCTTTGTCTTCTGTTTTGCCTTTTGAGATCAGGAGAGGGTAGGAAGCAATTGGGATATATTCCATGCTTTTATAATTATGTCAAAATGGATCCTACTCTTATGAATAATTAAAAAGTACCAAGAAAAAAGATAAAAAAGACTTTGAAGGCAGAGAAAAAAGTTACTTTACATACAAGAGAACAATAAATCAAATTGAGGGGGTGTAGTACAGCTTGACTAAGGGGGCAGCACACATTTTTTTTTACAGTAATGAAATTGTTCTGAATCTTGATTTTGGGGGATGATTATGAGACTCCTTCATTTGATAAAATGTTCTCTATATTCCAACAAGAGCATAAACTACTATATATATATATACATATAAAAGAACCAGAAACCTGGATATCACCCTTTACATTCTTCCCTTGCCCCTTTATAGAATCAACCAGCATCTCCCACCAAATCTACTTCCTAAAGATTTCTCAAATTTGACCTTTTCCCTCCATTCCCACTGGTTCTTCCTAATTTAATCCCCATCATCTCATTCTACTTTGCTCCCAAAGCTTGCTTTGCAAAAGAAGATCCCTGCTTGAACAGTACCAGCTTTAAACTGGAAGCTTCTTAGAAATGCAGAAACTTGGACTTCACCGTAGAACTCCTGAACTGGAATCATCCACAATTTAGCAGAATTCCAGAGTGACTTAAAAGCAGATTAAAATTTGAAACCTCTAATTTGGGGCATACCAGAGTGAATGGAAATCTAATTATGATGAGCATCTTACTAGAATACACAGAGCACACATGAGGCCTTACATGGCTGTACCCTAGCTTCCTCTTTCACTACTCTCCACATCATACTTTACAATTCTACAAGATTAACCCCTTGTACGTTCCAAAACACATACCACAACGCTATGCCCCTCTATACCTTTACCCCTTTTGATCCTTGGCCAAGAATTCAACCTCTTCCTCATCTGGCTAATTCCTAAAACACCTTCAAGCTTTTATTCATAAACCAACCCTAACAAACTCTACCCTGAGGTTGAGTCTCTCTGGGCTCCTGAACTATCTTGGAAATACCCTCCATCCCTAGTTTTCCTGTGGAATGTTGAAATTATCTGCCTAAGTGTTTTTCCTGGTCTTAAAGTTTTCTCAAAAGCAAGCAGCCTCATCCTTTCGAGTCTTCCTATGTGGAGCACAGAGAAGATGTTTAAGAAAAGCTTTGATGAACTGAAATTCCAACTTTTTTGTCCTTCTACAACATCGGTTCAGTTGGGTGGGGACCAGTTTCTCTATCACACAGTCTTTTCCTGAGAGAAATGCTGTTCATTAGCTTGACGCAAAACTCATTTGAGGATTTCCATCCCAAGACTGTTGTGCCTGTGCAAAAGTAAATACAGCCCCAGTCTAAGAGGAAATAATTTTTTGGTAAATGCCATGAAACCGTATTTTGTCGCTAGCAGGCTAGTGCAGGGCCCATGGTTGTTGCTTACTTAAGAATTCTCAGCTCAGGCGTGGCTGTCCCCTCCCCCAAGGCTCTAACCTGCCCACGAGCCCTCAGCTTGCCACCCGCGACTTCACTCCACCCAGAGACCCTCAAACAGCGCTTGAGCCCCCAGTGGCACGAGGGTTTGAAGCTGCAGGCCTAACTGTGGTCACCTTCTCCAGGGCAGCTCGTCGTCTTCGAAGTCGCTCTCTGTCACCGACCCCTCAATCACAGTTTCATCACTATCCGAATCTAAGCTCTGGACGCCTTCCTCCATCTTCTCTTTGAAGGCGGGATCTTTTCTACCCTCCTTCTCTAATTTCCCCTTTTCAGCAAGCAAAAGGACGCTTTGCGGGCCAGGGGAAATTGTGAGTTTAAAATAATAATGGTAAAATTCTTGACAAGAGACGGGCCTCGCTGGGCAGCTCAGGACGCCCAGGGCTCTGCGAGCTGCGCGCGGTCACCGACGGGCAGGCGCTCCCGCTCCGTCGTCTCACCCGCGCCTCCAGCAGGGGGCAGCCGCGCGCCACACGTCGGAGTCGCACGCCGCGCATCGCACCGCCCCGCCCCTCGGCTCCGACGGCCGGAAGTGGCCTTTGGCGCTCGCGCGGATGCTCTTTAGTATCGGTGCTAGCTTGGAAGTTGTTCTCCCGCTCTTTTGACTGGGTGACAAGGCAACTGGGCTTACTGCTGCAGGGGCCAAAAGGCAACAGTGCTGCAGGCCCCAGGTCGAACCCGCCGCATGTCACCTACAATGTACCTGGTGCATGTGATTCTAATCCGAAAGGGCTGTCGGCTTCTGCATGCCCCAGCCAGTTGGACTCTCAGTACTGCATTTTAAAGCCAGAAAGTGGTCTTAGACCCAAAGAATGGTTATGCAGCCCACCAGGCTCTTTCTTTCACCTTAATCTCTCTCCAAGATAGGCAAAACAGATACACTTATCAGAAGCTTTTGGATAAACTAATCTCATTGGTGTATTTTGTACATGTATTTTCTCTCCACACTTCCAGAAATAGATTGTGTAAAAAAAAAAAAAAAAGGGAAGTATAAATACTTTATTTTCCCCTTTTAGCAGTTTTTTATGAATAATAGTACCTTGGCAACCTCCAAAAATAATTGTTTTCTTAATGAAGTGCTAGAATATTTGATGTGTCTTAGTGTATTTGGAGGGTTTTCATTCAAACTATAGTCATGCACTATGACATTTAAGTCAATAAAGATTTTAATGCCTAGTGTCATGCAACATCTCAGGTTGTTTAAGTATACCTGGGTGTTAGCACAATCTCGCAATCACCCAAGAGAACATATCCCTGTGGTTAAGCAAGACATAACTTAAAACCATGTGAATTTCCACTTGGCAAGTCAGAGGAAGATTCAGGACAAACTGAACTCCTTTCCTGTAAACTATTTAACATTCACCTTGGAATTTCTGATATCTAGTACATGTTAAGTCTTTAAAATTTTGTCAAAATAAATGGATAACACTGGATTTTCTGACTCTCCAAACCACTGTCCTTTTCCCTAGATGAAGTGGCTTTGTCATTATTGGGTTTTTGTCGTTTTTGTTGTTGTTTGTTTTTTTACTATTTACATTATATTTAAGACAGGATGGTTAGTAGTTGTTGTTTAAACCAATAAAACACTCCTCATCTCAACTCTAGGAAGAACAATAATAAATATGAAAAGAACCAGACCTCTGTTCTCTTCAGACCTGCTCGCCTGCATCCTCTATGTTTAAATTCTTATCTACTCTGCTGCGCATTCACTCTTTTAATCATCCAGCTTTCCTTTCATAGCCATAGAAGATGCATACAGCAAAGGATGGTCAGTGGTGCCAGAGGCCCTAGACCAAGAGGTGATTTTCCCCTGGTACATAGCACTTCTTCCAAACATCACCTGACTTAAGCTAAGTATAGAAAACTTCTAGGTCTGAAATTCAAATTCAGGATAACCAGATTTAATGAGGGCAAGATATTTTCCTTTTTGTAATAGTATATATTATGTATTTTTATAGAGAAATCACACCTAATGAGTACAGAAAAAAATGAAAGAATTAAAAATTTAACATTTACATCCACAAAACAATGGATTTAGGCAATGATCATCATAGCTGCTAAAATCATTAGTCAAAAATATGATGGGGAATTTTATAATGAATGGATCAGGCTAACAACACTAAAACCCACTGATTGATCTTAATCTTACTAAAAATTGACTACCATGGCACAGACACCAAATGCCATTAAAACTAAAACTGGCTCTTTATTTATTGCAGTGCATACTAACAAAGAGAAAAATAACATGATCACTTTAGGGCAGTTTGAAGCTGAGTTCTAGCTGATCATTTACAAGCTAGTTACATGAGTAAAGGGCAGAAGTCAGTCAGTATTGGCAGCTCTTGTTTTTGGAGCAGATTATGCATGAGTAATGAAGTACAATGAATATTACCCCAACTAGAATGTACATTATTTTAATTTGTCATATTTCTCTTTTTATATCTTCATTCCTGCAGCCGTACATCTTTTACACGTTCTCCCTAATATAATGCTTATATTGTTAAATGAAGGATTAGCTCACTTTCCTTCAAGTAAGATTCTGAAAGAACTGAGACTTCCAAAATTTACTCTACACATTATAATTTCTTCTTCCCTGGTTCATCTCTTCCCTAACCATAAAGACTGATCCCTCCAGGATTGGTGTACAGGGATGACAGAGAGAGGGAAACAGGAATTTCCCAGTAAAGGGTGTCAATATACTGGAGCGAGCTCCTACTACTTTGTGAAGACAATTGTTCAATTTTTAGGAATTTCAAAGTCAGTTATCACAAATAGCCACCTATTAAAGTATATAAACTTTTAATTAAATCATATTAAATATAAGTGCAAGGCTGGGGTTGTGGCTTAGTTGTATAGCACTTGCATAGCATGTGTGAGGCACTGGGTTCAATTCTCAGCACCACATAAAAATAAAGGTTCACTGACAACTATGTGTGTATGTGTGTGTGTGTGTGTGTGTGTGTGTGTAGCACAATACATATGAAAAATCTACTATTTGCTAGTCATTTGCTACATCTTACTTACTAGGTCATTGGAGGAGGAGAAAAGGAAAGAAGAAATCATAATGTGTAGAATAAGTTTAAAACAAGTTATTTACATTACAGAATCTTCAAATGCTACAAATCAGCATTTTCTTCCTAACAAAGATTCTTTGCTTGTCCAAACTTTAGCCAGGCTTCTGAACTTTCTTCTGAGCCCATCTATATACTTCCTTGAAAAATCCGGTTTTAGCAAACAGTGTGAATAAGTGAGTTTAGCTCTGGATATCTGATCACCCCCATTATGTGATTGGGTTCTTCATTTTCCACCTTTTCCCAGGTAATGTCTGATCATACAGACTTGTCTTTAACAAGAATTCTGTTAGATCAGTTTATCCAGGATTCCCCTTATTATTGATGTTCTACCTCTTAGTAACTTTCCACTCATTGAATCCCACACTGCTTCTTGGCTATGGATTCCCACTTGCCCCACAATGTGTTTGAAGTTGAGACCAGTATCTCCCCGCAACTGCAAGACCCCATTGCATGTTTTCTGTACTTATCAAAGTTGTTTTATAATAAGGTCTTACAATGCTTTAACAAGTGTCATTAAATAGTTTCTTTTTTTCTTTAACACTTTCCACCCACACTCTCAGATGGCTGTTTGTTAATCATTCATCAGTGCACCACTGGGTGCTCCTAAATCAATTTTTCACCCTCTGGGTCCAGCATTCATTTAAAGTTAGCTCTTTCATAACTGATCTTGTCATGGTTTGTAGACCTGAACACCACTGGTGATTTCTCACCTACAGTTTCCTCAGTGTGGGAGAATGTACCTATTTCCATGGTCTCATATTTCATCACTGGAATACACAGCACAGAAGTCCACCTCTGCCTTTTCTGCCAACCACTATTTTCCCACTAAAATGCCCTTTGGATTGGTTTTAATCGAGCCGGTTCTTTCTGAAGCATATAATGTACCTAGCTCAGAAAATTTTTTGCCTGAACAAATTCTGATGGTTCCCTTTGCACATCACACCCAATCACAAATCTCTTAATCATTTGGTAATCTCATATGGGAATAAGATACCAATCTACATTAACCACTGAAGCCCCTGCTTCTAGAGTTAGTTGGAAGAGAAAGGCAAGACGCAGGGAACCAGCAACTCTCTAACAACAATTCATTATGGAATTGCCTGCACATTTCTTCCCTCTCAAACATTTAATATCTTCATAGATATGATGGTTTCTGGCCATCCTGCATTAGACTACTGTAGGATGGTTGATCTCAGAATTGGTAGTAACATCTGACATCATCTTCTTGGTGAGTTATTCAATATTTACAGTTTAACATAAAAGAATATGTTTATAAATTCAGGAAATGAAAATATTTCTATGAAATCACTCTATGTAAAGGGAAGACTGAAAGGTTATATAATATAAGTAACTGCTGTAGTAATCTTACTATTTTAGTACCAAATCTCTCAATATATGCAAGAACATTATTGTCATTATATACTTGGATTAGAGGAATTGTGGAGAACATTTTCAATCAGTTTTTAAAGGCTTATTATCATATGTTTTCATTCTAAAGTGATTACTGTTAGTAGAGATTAAAATCTTCTCTCAAAGTGGTGCTAGATCCTGGGCATGGCAGCAGGTAAATATTGAGTGGGAATACTGAATTTAGATATTCACTCAGCCTGGGGCACTTTGTAAAGAAAAAGCAACTTGGGCTGGAGTTGTGGCTCAGTGGTAGAGCGCTTGCCTGGCATGTGTGAGGCCCTGGGTTCGACCCTCAGCACCACATAAAAAATAAATAAATAAAAATAAATAAATAAATATAAAGGTATGTGTCCGTCTACAGCTAACAAAATTAGAAAATAAAGGAAGAAAGAAGGCAACTCACTGAAAAATCCCTTATATAACAGTAGAAAATATAATCATCCCGGGCTGGGAATGTGGCTCAAACTGTAGCGTGCTCGCCTGGCATGCGTGTGGCCCGGGTTCGATCCTCAGCACCACATACCAACAAAGATGTTGTGTCCGCCGAAAACT